GTCCCTCGCCTGTTCTCGGCTGCTGGCCGCCATGTTTCATAAGGAACACGTTGAACCGTGCTTCTCGGAAGGGTGCTTCTCGGAAGACGAAAAACACAGATGGCTCCGTGTAAAACGAACACGTTTCGACGTGTCCGCTATGGGACAACGGTTTACACGTCTGGGCGTGTTATTTTTGCTAACAGTGTACTATCTTAGACGGACCGAAGACGCAACGAACCGCCCTTCCTTCCATGTGAGTGACAAAGAGAGGACCTCTTGACCATCGGGGACATGTGTTCTTGCTACGCAATGTACGCTTTGTCATGATCCGATGAGTTTGGACTGCGTCGAACTCTGTGATAGGAATATTCGACGAGTCCAGCCTGTAACCCACAGAGATCAGCCCGACAGGCCTTATACAGCCCTAATTGTAAGTATTTTTTTTATTCTAATAGACTGTTAGAGACGTTCTGGTTGGTTATTCTTTTATGTTCGAAGTCATTTTTATTTTATTTTTCCTGTTAAAATATGGGTGTCTTCGTGTCGCAAGATGTTTGCCTCCCAGTATTCGCGACTCCAGCGACCTATAGGGGGCGCCACCACCAAACAAACATGGCGGCTGAGTCCAGGTCGCGGCGGCTCGGCCGGGCCGCCTGAACAGGTGGCGTGTTCAATTTAACAGATTTTCTTTTGCCTAATGCCCAATTTTATAGGTATTTGAACTGAGACGGTTAAGTGTATCCGGTGCAGATAAGCTTGCAAAGCATAGTTTTGTTTTGCCGGTGTTTTTTTGTTATTTTCGTGTCAAACTTTCGTTTCGGAGATTTCGTTCAAAACCGAAACTATGGGCTCCGGAGGGACGGTAATATACTAATCAGTTTTGATCATCTAAGGAAAGCGGCGATGACTATAGAATTGTTCCACAGAGAGTAACTTTTCAGCTAACTCGCATGCCTCGACCATGCGACTTATCTGTCCGCGAAATCGAGCTTTTGTGCGTATCCGCGTTTACGAAACAGCTCCAGTCGTCTGCTCGGCCAACAACACAGGCTGCAGGAAAATTACGAAAATTAAGAAACCGCTCCTTGAGCCAAGGACCATGTTAACCCGCCGGCGCCCCACTAAGCAGCTGATACTCGTATTTCGATTCAGGTTTTAGTAGCAATCGAGAAGTCATTTTGACGAGCGGGTTATGTATTATATTACGTACTATGGGGGGGGGGGGGGGGTTCACTAAAGCGATATTAGTATACCCTTCGGGTTGAAATATGAGCTTTGTTGACTAGCTATTAGGTGAGCTGCTGAATAAAAGTATATTTGACAGACGGAGACATACTGTACTACTTAAACTTAGCCAAATGGTTCTATAGCCGGCAGCACGGGGACAAACTGAAGAGTCTTCATTGAAGATCCGCGCAAAACCTCTCTGCATTGAACGGAGAAAATTAGTATTTTTTTTTGTGGCCGGTCAGCCTGACCAATGTAGACGTATATCGCTGCTGGCTTCGACGTCCTCGTGATATAAATATTGGAGGCGCGATAGGTGAAAATGCCGTGACAGCATCTAACGTTGCGAGACTTGCCTCCCACCTTTTGAAAACAGATAATTTCCCTCATTCATCATTTGCAGTGAGCAAGTTTTTCTGAATCAAGTAATTGCGAAATCAGCCCAACTCCTTCAGTGTGGTCCAGAGGCTTTTTCGGCGAAAAGCAGCCAAGATGAATAGCCAACGCACCGACCGGCGTGGGTGGCTCAAACTTGAAGATAACCGAACACAGCCAAACTCAAGAAAAGCAGCTATCGAACCTTCCCATTCACTTGACTGCAACATTGATGTACCCTCCAGTATCAGTTACCAAGCAGTCGTCAGTTTGAATGTGATTCGAGACAAACAAGAAATCAAAAAGTTTTCCGTGATTCCTCGCCATCCAAGAAATCGAAAGCACGCGACCGTGTGCTATGGAGTAAACGGGCTTTCAAACACGTAATAGAAGAAAACAATCTGCTGAGGCTTCACCACACTAATGATCACTCAGGCAAACTTAAGAAATATTCGGACCTTCGTCAAATTACATCGTTCGCCACCGCGCCGACAACACGTCTCCGCGTAAGCCACCAGAGACGCGGAGGGGCGCGGAGCGACCTGGACCGGCTGGTTCCCGGTTTTCCCGCTTGGCGGCGTCCGTTTTGCTGGAGTCGCGAATATCTAAAGCTGAATAGTACCACAGAAGCGTTGGTTAACCCTTATTTCCCCAAATTCGGTTTGTTGGCTGGAAGTGGAGTGCCAGTAATTTTCTTTACTCGTCAAGCTTTTTTTACGTGCGTGATTTATTTGAAATTCTTGATTGATTCAAGCGTTATGTTCTGTTCAACTGTATGTTCCTCTCTTATAACAGACTATTTATTGAACTGTTAATTTCGTAGTACATTTGACACTTGTGAGATGAAAAAGGCCAGTGATTTGATTTATAACTGGTAAATATTATGAAGGAAATATTAGCACATTTGTAACTACATATTTCCGTGCCGCAAATTCCGTAAATGTGAAGTTTTTTTTTCCAAATCAATGTAGAGATATAGGTGTAATCTTAAATGGTGAGATTGTAACTAACAGGTCCTAAGGTTAGATGAAGGGTTGAGGAACCCTATGATATTGCAAGAATAGGGCTAAGCAATTTATGGATTGACCTTTCTACTATTTTATTGATTTCTTTAATCACTATCAGTATTTAATACTAGACCGGTTGAGCTCTGAGTTAGGACAAGTCGGGCGAACAAAACAACAGTTAACGCCTATGCCGGCTTGCTGGAAACAGCGTCTCAGCTGAGACTAGGGAAAGCACTGCCAAAGCCAGCGCAGAAGCTGAGCGCGACTCACACCTCGTCTCAAGACGCTCGCGCGCCCCACCCTTTGCAGTGCTTTTTTTCACCCATTGTCGGCTGGGACGCTGATTCCAGCAAGTCGGCCCAGGTATCTTACGTGCTCATTGCTCATCTATTTGTTATATAAGGCAGTACTGCTATCTCCTAGAATACTCAAGTTTATTGTATACAAAATAACGAAAAATATTCGCTGGGAAAGAAAGTTTTCATATTAGAAAAGTAAACATTAAAAAAGTCGGTAGGCCTTTCTGAGATTTTATGTTAGAGAGCAACTGAATCGATTAATCGAACAGTTGATTATAGGGCGACGATTAATAAAGCTATATTTTATTTGGATATTCATAATTGACAAAGGTAAAAGAGAACTGACAGTGACTGAAGATGAAAGGTAAATGAATATTTAAAATTACAGTGGTATGAGGTGGCCTAGCGAGAACTGGCACCTGAATCGAGGCCCCCTATTCTGTTTTTTTCAGAACTGTGAGCCCAGAACTCTGCGGGATCCCGGCCATCACGTTCTTGCCCGGTTTACAGCTTGCAGGGGGGAATCCTGGCACTCATTTTTGCTTTAATTTTTCTTTAATCGTAATACTTAATAAAATGTATTGACGGTACACTTTGAATTGCATGCTTCTATATTTACTTGGATGCGATAAAAAAATTCCACAATGAATGTGGCTTGTTTACTGCAGCTTTCTTTTCAGATGTATATGTAGTGTTCAACTGACCACTATAAATACATCTGAAAAGAAAGCTGTATGTCCGCTAAAATGGCTGCCGATAATAGTACAACCCGCTCTTGAAATCGGATGCCAAAATTTAAATAGCCAGGTGTAGGGATGGCCGAAGGGGCTTAGCCGAGAGAGCTCGGGGAATTGGCGGCGCGGTCACCCGAAGCGTCCTTCGGAGGCGCCCGATGTCTTGTCTTTCCCTTTGGCGGCAAGCGGAGGCCAGCTCCCGAAAGTGGAAGCAGATTTCCCCGCTTTAGGAAGTAGGCAAACCTCTGTTCGCGGGTGGTCGCCCTTGCCGCCGAGGTAATTGGGGAGGCGACCTTGTCGGGGCCACGTCGGCGACTTCGGGGGAGAGAGGGAGGTCCGGCCTCCCTTCGGAATGTCGGTGACCTTTCTATGATTGGTGGAGGACCCGCTGGCACTGGGGCCAATAGAATTGTATAATTGTCCTGATTGGACAGGCCCTGTGTCAGTGGGGAGTTTTCTCGACCGCACCGGCGGGGAAACGCCGAGTTTGAACAAGCCCGCGCGCGGAGCAAGTTATCTCCCGCGGTCCGCCGGTCCGCGCAGCTTTGTCGCGAGCGACAAACAGTTTTTTTTGAGCCTCACCGTGCGCGGTGGGCACTTTGCGCCGAGGCGCGGTATTTTTGGTATCTCTACTGCCGTGAGCGGAGAGTAGAGGTTTGTAACCGAGTTTGCTGTTGACGTTGTAATACATTTGCTTTTATTAACTGTTGCTCCCGACTTTGAGCGTCTTTCTTCGAGGCTCCGCCACCACCAACGAGCAAGAAGCGACCATCTTTCGCGGCTGTCCACGATCGCCCGGCCCTGGCCTACGACTTCTAGGAAGGACCGGGACAAAACAACCTGACCCTCAGGGAGGGACATTCTTTACTGGCGCAGTCGACGGGATCGTGGACATCGCCAACCACCTGGAAAGGTGCCAGATGCCGGGTGGGAGCCCAAGACCAGCCGATACGAAGAGCAACTGTCCACAAGCAGCCTGGCACAGCGAGGCACTGCTACGAGCACGCCTATCGCCGGAAGCAGCGAGAGCCAAGGGACAACGCGTGGGGCGATCGGCGCCGGTGACCTGCGGGTTTGGCGGCATCGACGACTACCGTTGGCCTGGGGCCCGCGACGACGGTGAACGAAAGTCAAGCAAGCGGACATCGCGTGGAGCGATCGACGCCGGTGACCTGAGGGTTCGGCGTCATCGACAACTACCGTGGGCCGGGGGCCTTCAACGACGGCCTAAGATTCAAGCGGGCGAGCGTCGCCTGCTGCAATCGACGCCAGTGACCTGCGGGTTTGGCGACATCCGAGGCAACCGTGGACTCTTCAGCGTCCCAAGGTACGTGATCTCCTTTCCTTCTCTCACTGACTGACACCTGTACGCTTAAATGACGAAGCCAGGATTGCGGAGCGGGGGAGGGCAAGGGGTTGAGGATGGCGACGCGTCAGATGGGGAAGCGGACCGGGTAGACGCCCAGATAATCCTTGTGAGGGAGAAAACTAAAATGTTGGAACGAGAGATCCGACTCGCGGAGCTTCGCGCTGACGAGCGGAGAAGTAGAGAACAGGCTGGTGGGCGCGATCAGGAGGGCAAAAATGGGGACGCACTCAAGCACTATTCTAGAATGCTACAGGGAGCCATCCCAAAATTCCCGACTGACGCAGAGGTCCCGGTATGGTTCGACACGGTGGAGTGTTTGTTCGCGCGATTCGAGGTGCCGGCCGCGGTTCAGGCGCACTTGGTGTACCCGCTCGTGGCGGCTCGGCACGGTTACCTTTGTTCGCGGATAGAGGGGGACCAGTTCTCGTTCGAACAAATCAGGCAGACAGTGTTGAAGGAGCTGCGGCTCTCACCCGACGAATATCGGAAGAAATTCGTCTCAACATCGAGGAGGAAGGACGAGAGCTGGCAGCAGTTCGGCACGCGTTTGTCAAGCTACCTAACATACTACGTGGAAGCACGAGGCGTGGAGTCCTTCGAGAGATTGAAGGCGCTGCTGGTCGCGGACCAGCTGAAAGCATCGGTTGGCGCAGACGCCCTTAAGTACGTAACCCTTAAGGAAGGGAAGGAGTGGTTCGATCGATCGCAAATCGCAGACCTCCTGGCCCTGTATGATCAAGCCGAGTGTCGCAGCGCCACGCCCGTTCGTCCTGTAGCGGGAGGGGCAGAAAAGGGGGACAAGGCGCGGAAACCGGAAGGTAAAAAGAATCCCGGGGGCTTTAAACCTTCAGGGGGCAGGTTTGGTAGCAAGACATGTTACAGGTGTGGCAGTCCGTCACACCTGGCAGCCGCATGCCCACAGTCGAGGGAGGAGAGGGCAACTGCGACTGCCGATAGCTCCAAGGTGCAATGCGTTGCACTCAACCCAGAAAACCGAGAGACGCTGGCGGCAAAGATCGAAAGATCAGGAGAGAGGCAAGGCGTAAAGTCGCCGTTACTGCACACACATGTGATCTGCGGCGGGCAACCCATAAACGCTATCGTGGACACGGGCAGCGAAATCACCGTCATACGTGAGAGCCTGTTGCTTCCGAGAGACCTCGAACCGAGCGGTTCGATAACACTCGTGGCCGCGTTTGGATCCAAAATCCAGGCCAAGCTGGTGACTATTCCTATGAAGCTCGCGTCGAGCGGGGCTGATGCCGTCCCTCCCACGGTGGTTGAAAGGGTTCCGATTTTGTGTGCGGTGACCGACGAACTCGCGCCCCATACCGATTGCTTGCTATCAGCAGAGGCATGGGAAGCCTTAAATTGCGCTGAAGCTGAGCGGGAGCCGATCCCGGCAGTGACCGAACCCGGCGAAGAGTCACACATGCACGCGGTAACCCGGGCGGGGGAGGGTGCGGCGCTCAGAGAACCGGCGGCGCGACGCGATCGGGAAACAGCGGCGAGGAGCGAGACCGATCGCCCCGCGTTCGAGCGGGAGGCCCCTTGCTCTAAGTCTAAGGGAACTAGGAAGGAGCAGCTGTCAGACGAACAACGGGGCGACCCGACGCTAAGAAAACCGTTCACTGACGCCAAAGTCGGGAAGGGGGGGATGTTCGTACAGGACGGACTTCTGTGGCACCACGACAAACTTTCGGGGGAAAGTGTAACACAGTTGGTACTTCCGAGTGGGCGACGCAAAGAGGTGTTGCTGTTGGCCCACGAATCGCCATGGGGCGGTCACCTCGGAGCTAGGAAGACAGTGGCGCGCATTAAACACACTTTCTACTGGCCAGCCATAGAGGCTGAGGTAAAGGAACACTGCAACTCCTGCCACGCCTGCCAGTTGAGAAAGGACAGGCGCACAGACGATCGTATTCCGATCACACCGCTCACGCGCCCCGACTTTCCGTTTCAGTGTGTAAACATGGACGTAATCGGCCCCCTGGACCCACCATCCGCTAGAGGTCATAGGTACGCTCTTTGCGTGGTAGACCTGCACACGAGGTGGCCGGAGGTAGTCTGTCTTAGGTCCTTGACTGCTAGGGCAACCTGCGAGGCACTGCTTAGCATATTCAGCCGTACCGGAGTGCCGGAGAAAATAGCGTGCGACCAGGGAACGAATTTTACCGCTGGCCTGACGCAGGAGTTTTTGGCGCGGTTGGGGTGCGCGCCCAGGTTTTCGACACCCGAGCACCCCGAGAGCAATGGAAGCGTCGAGAGGTGGAACAGAGTTTTCAAGAATATGCTCCATCATGTGATCAAGGACGAGGGTAAGCAGTGGGACAGGTTCGTCCCGTATTTGCTTTGGGCCTATCGAGAGGTTCCCCATGAGACTACGGGAGCGTCACCATTCCAGTTGTTGTATGGCCGCACTCCGAACGGCCCGCTGGCCATACTCAAGGACGCTTGGACGGGCCAGGTCGAGATGCCACCGACCCTGCGAGAACAGCCGGCGGCGTACCTTCATGAGCTGAGGAATAAGTTGGAGAGGGCGGCAAGCGCTGCGCAGCTTACGTCCATCCAGCGACAGAGAGACTACGCCTCTTACTATAACCGAAAGGCCAAGGCAAAGAGCTTTGAGGTAGGGGACGACGTTCTCGTGTTTGATACCAATACGCAAGGTAAAATGCTTTCCAAGTGGAGTGGGCCGCACACTGTCGTTGCAAAATATCACGATCACTCCTACGTGTTAGAGACCGAACAGGGCAGGAGACGCACAGTGCACGCCAATATGCTTAGACGGTACCACGCGAGGGTAGGGCAGGTGGGGGTGATCTTTCACGAAGATGATGATTTCGGGGAGGTCGGCTATACGCCGCGAAGTCCGTCTCTGGGTTCTCCCAATACCGCGGTATTCCCTGAGGAGGCCTTGACCCACCTGAACGAACCCAAGAAGGCTCAGATGCGGGAGCTGTTGTCCGAGTTCGATCAACTGTTCGTCGAGCAGCCCCGAGTGGCGGATGTGGGCGAACACCGCATCACTTTGAGGGAGAATTGTCTACTGAAGAGTCCGCACCGTTATCGAATTCCCGACGTGTTGAAAGGGGAGGTAACCAGGCAGGTGGGCGAGCTTCTCGAGCTGGGATTGGTATATCCCACCGAGAGTGAGTTCGCGCACCCAGTTGTCTGCGTGGCCAAGAAAGACGGCGGCATGCGGATGTGCATCGACTACCGAAGCCTCAATGAGGTCACCCGTGACGATGCCTTCCCGATGTCGCTGCCGCAAGAGTTAATCCTGAGGGTCGGTCGAGCCGCATACATTTCACTCGTCGATCTCCGGCGCGGGTATTGGCAGGTGCCCCTGGCTCTCGAGAGTCAGAGTCACACGGCCTTCGTCACGCACGACGGTCAATACGCTTGGCGGGTCATGCCTTTCGGACTGAAAAATGCCGCGGCGACATTTCAACGGATAATGAACTCGCTCCTGCGACAGCACCACGATTACGCCTGTGCGTACCTCGACGGCATCGCGATATTCTCGGGGTCGTGGGTCGAGCACCTACAGCACTTGCGTTTCGTTCTTTCTGAACTCGCTGTCGTGGGCTTGACCGTCGCGATGGACAAATGTCAAATCGCCCGACCGTCGATCGCGTACCTGGGGCACGTGATCGGCTCGGGGAGGCATGCCCCGGACCCCATGAAGCTTGAGGCAATCGGGGGGCTTCAGCGGCCCGTTACAAAGAAAGAAGTGAGGAGCGTGCTCGGCCTTTGCGGTTATTATCGAGAGTACGTCCCCGGCTACGCAGAGCTGGCCCTCCCTCTCACCGAGTTGACCGCCAAGCGCGTGCCGAACACAGTTCCGTGGGGAGATCGGGCCGAGCGCGCCTTCGAGGGACTGAAAGCAGCTCTCATGAACGCCACGGCTCTCGCGACGCCGGACCCCGGTCGGCCGTACTGGTTGTTTACTGATGCGTCAGATTTCGCGGTCGGGGCTTGTCTCGCTCAGGTGTCGGATGGAGGGAAGGAGGGGCCTGTCGCGTTCGCCAGCCACAAATTCTCTCCCACTCAGTCGCGCTGGGCAACTATCGAGAAGGAGGCGTTCGCCGTTATATGGGCGTTACAGAAGTTTGACAATTGGCTGTTTGGGGCCCAAGTCAACGTGGTGTCCGACCATAACCCGCTTTCCTACTTGACCGCCAGCACTCCGAAAAGCGCCAAGCTGATCAGGTGGTCGCTGGCATTGCAGCGCTACCAAGTGACAGTAACTCACAGGAAGGGAAGCGAACACGTAAATGCAGACGCGCTCTCCAGGTTGCCCAACAACTGTTGGAGCGATAAATAATGTCCCGGGGGCAGGAAAGCGCCTTACCGCTCTAGAGATGCGCGCGGTGTCGGTCAGTGTGCATGAGGGAAGGCGATCACTGCCACGGCAACGTGAACGTTTGCGTAGAAATATTTTGCCGAACAATTCTGTGCCACATGCTTTGGCCGGTTTGCTTGGTTTATTTTGGGTTTTGGAACTTTTTTATGTGACGTTTTGTATTTTTGTTTCCTTTTTTTGTTTGTTGCTGTAATCCTTTTTGCGCGTTTGTTTTCGGCGCGAGTGGGACGGCTTTACAAGAGTACGGCTGAAGCTCAGGGCTTCTTTTTTTCTCCCAGCGTCCGTGTTTTGTTGTTGTTCTGGAGCCGCCGTTTTTCGTATGGGATGTTGCTAGAGTTGAAGCTTTTTTTTTTTTCTTTCATTTAATTGTGTCGCGATGGTGTCAAAATAACTGCTGGCTAGTCCAGAAGTCCTAGCGCAGTTTTCGGGGGGACGTGTAGGGATGGCCGAAGGGGCTTAGCCGAGAGAGCTCGGGGAATTGGCGGCGCGGTCACCCGAAGCGTCCTTCGGAGGCGCCCGATGTCTTGTCTTTCCCTTTGGCGGCAAGCGGAGGCCAGCTCCCGAAAGTGGAAGCAGATTTCCCCGCTTTAGGAAGTAGGCAAACCTCTGTTCGCGGGTGGTCGCCCTTGCCGCCGAGGTAATTGGGGAGGCGACCTTGTCGGGGCCACGTCGGCGACTTCGGGGGAGAGAGGGAGGTCCGGCCTCCCTTCGGAATGTCGGTGACCTTTCTATGATTGGTGGAGGACCCGCTGGCACTGGGGCCAATAGAATTGTATAATTGTCCTGATTGGACAGGCCCTGTGTCAGCGGGGAGTTTTCTCGACCGCACCGGCGGGGAAACGCCGAGTTTGAACAAGCCCGCGCGCGGAGCAAGTTATCTCCCGCGGTCCGCCGGTCCGCGCAGCTTTGTCGCGAGCGACAAACAGTTTTTTTTGAGCCTCACCGTGCGCGGTGGGCACTTTGCGCCGAGGCGCGGTATTTTTGGTATCTCTACTGCCGTGAGCGGAGAGTAGAGGTTTGTAACCGAGTTTGCTGTTGACGTTGTAATACATTTGCTTTTATTAACTGTTGCTCCCGACTTTGAGCGTCTTTCTTCGAGGCTCCGCCACCACCAACGAGCAAGAAGCGACCATCTTTCGCGGCTGTCCACGATCGCCCGGCCCTGGCCTACGACTTCTAGGAAGGACCGGGACAAAACAACCTGACCCTCAGGGAGGGACATTCTTTACTCCAGGGCATAAGGTTGGGAGCTAATATTGGATAAGCCAGTGATTAAGGTTTGATGCCAATATTGGTTGTAGGATTCACAATCAGTAGTGGTCCAATGATGGCTTAGGTGTTGGTGAAATTGTGGCCCGACGTTGGGCTTTAATATTGGTTAAAAGGAGGTCGAACCATGGCATAAATGATGGTCCAATATTAGCCTAAATATTGGTTGAATCGTGGTCCTACATTGGCATTAGTTAATGGTCCAACGTTGGATCGGGTAGCGGTTTCGAGAAAATCAACATTAGGCCAACATTGGAGCCAATGTTTGCCATTTGCGGGCCTATTTGGTCAAACAGTGGTGTGCTGCTTGGAAGTTGGGGCGCAGTAATCGTCTAAAAGATAACGCAGTATGTTTCTTTTTTTGGAAGTGTTATGTGTTCTGTCGTCTGCTCTCAAGCGCGTTCTCGCTGGACTGAATCATCGGTCTTCCTCGCGCAGATTCCGTCTGCGACGCAGGTGACTTCTACAGTTATTATACAGAGCTGTGACTCTAGCGTGCAGTGACTTCCAAGCATGCTTTGCTATCCGTGATCCCTCAGTTTTAGCAGACCGTTTTTGCACCTTCGATACGATACTTCAGCGGTGCGAACGGCCATGGAGTAGTTATGCCTGGGCGCGTAACGGGCCGGCTGGAACCACGGCTACTCTTCTCGCACCGATTACAAAATTTTGATTCCGGTGTTGTAGCGGGACTCAACAGTTTTAATCATGACTGAAAGTAAACATCTTGCTGTCCTTTAAGGTGTATCCACACGACGGACCAAAAGCTTTTGGTCCGCGGGCCGCGCATCACGTGATCTTACGTCACCGGTTTTCGAGGTCCGCCGGCGGTCCGCGGCCCGCGCTTGTGAGAAATGCCAAGCGATTTTTCTCGCCCGGACCTTGGCGGCGGACCGCGGCGTTTTTAGTATAATTAAAGTGCTAAGTCTGGCAACAAGCTGACTTTTGCTGTTTTGATTGCAATCCAAATCCACAGTCGTGTTCTTTTGGCGCCAACTGTTGAAGACGAAGAAGACGAACCTTTTGTTGTGCGACGGTGCCGTTATGGTGCGACGATGCAACTTTTTACTTCATCGCGCTCGTGGAGCAATTCCCCGCTCTGTGGGATAATAGATGCATGTCCTTTTCGGTTCGCTTAAGTCCTCCTCGTCCTCAATAGTCAACGCCAGGGCCACCGCAGCCAAACGTCTCGTTCGTTCAACCTCCATCTTGGCTCCTTACAAATAGCCTCAAAGCAGCTCGCTGCATGCCTTTGGCGGAGCTGGAAGGTCGAGGGTTAGACCGGCCCGTTCACTCTGTCGTGTGCTCTTTTGGCCCGCCATGTGGATGCTCATTGCAGCCGGGCGGCCCCCGGGCCGTGCATCACGTGATCAATCGGTCCGCGGCCCTGTCCGTTGTGCGGATGCACCTTTAGCTGCGGCAAGTATATTTGAAATTCGTGATAGAAAGAAAGGAAAAAAAAAAAAATAAAAACACGAGATGTGCATTTTCGTTTTTTCTATTGATATATTCCTAAAAAGTTGACGCAAAATACCTCATGCGTCCATGGCCTAGCGGATAAGAGGGCTGCTTCTTTGGCCTACCTAGCGATTGGATTTTCAATTAAAAATATAAAGGAAACCAACCCGTCCTGGGTTTCTAAACCCAGGACGGGTTGGTTTCCCTCATATTTTTCCTTATGAAAGTTTTGCTAATAAACTGTGCGTTAAAAAAAGAAAAGAAAAAAAAAAAAAAACAGGTTTCCAAACTAAACTTGTCCGACCAAACAGGTCCCCAAACAGAAAGGAGCGAAAAACAGGGCGTGCCATCTATCGGTCTTCTTTTCAACGAATTCCCGCGACGCCGGAGTAGCCACGCGTGTGCTGATCGCTCTAATCCCCACACCCGTTCTCGGCCCTTTCGCCTCCCTTAGCCTTGCCGCCGTGCCCGGCCTTCCCCCCTCTTTCGGCCTTGACACCCCTCCCGGCCCTTTCGCAGTCGCCGGCCTAGCCCCCGCACTCGGCCGTTCCGGCTCGCTCGGCCCTAATCCACGCTTGGCCCTTCCGCGAGGGCCGGCCGAACTGGTAGTGACCCGAGGCGTCCACACCTGCGCTTCATTCCTCTCTCCGGAGTATTTGGTTTAGGAGCGCGGTCGATCAGCAGGCTTTTGTAAAGGCAAAACTACGGGAGGCTGGAGCGACATGAAACCTCGAGGAGCCGACATACTGGACCATGAGTGAAGACAGCAGTGAAAGACTCATGCTGGTTCCGCTTTGCCCATCGAGGTAACAGCATTATCTCGACATGTTTATGTCATGAAAGTTCTCGGTAAGGCGGTAAGCGGATGGCTGGACGTTGATTTCTGTCAGTGTTTATATTCAGTGTCATCAAAATAAAGAAGGTCATTAAGTAATTCAAGCGAGCACATCTTAGAACTGCATCCAAAACACCCCCGATAGGCCTGTCGCAGTGTGACCTGGCTGCAGGGTTCGCCTCTTTCCGTACTCATTTAAGGCATATAAAAATGCCTATACATGGCTTGCACATGACGTCAAAGCCGTCCTCCTTGCTGGTAGTGGAAGTCTGCCGTTAATGCACTGGAAGCTCCGCTGACTCCTTTTCCGCTCGCTCGCAACGCTCGTTTCCTGTTTGTAGAATTAGTACAGTAAAGTCTACGCTCCACCACCAGAGAGGAGGATCAAATTACGTCAGGGCAAGCTATGTATAGGCTTTTTTGTTTTGTTTTGCACACTTAGATCAGTTAGGGACACCCACCTAAACAAACTTACCAACGACACGTTTGTTTGGGGGGGGGGGGGGGGGGGGCACTTCTATTATTATATCTCAGAAAGAGAAAGCTGCAACAGCTTGTCAAAGCAGCGCTCATAAGTTGTTCACCGAGGTAAGTCGGCAGTCTAAACCTGAAGAACGATATCGTTTTTCCATCCAAATCGGTTTTGAACGGTCGCCATCACGTGTGGCCGTCACTTTCTTAGTTATTTTATTCTCTTTTATCACTATCTTCTCAGCGCAGGTACCATCTAGGCTTTCCCGCCTTATGAGAACAGCCGAGCTACCGCCGAACAAAGGAGAAACAAAGACACTGAAAACACTGTATGACAGCAGGAACCACACAACTAAAAAACAAAACCAGACCTAGAAAAACAGGCTAAATAAAACTCTGCGAGCTATTAGCGATGAGACGTTTCAGAGTCTCCCTCAGGACCTTTTTGCCAACTCGTCATGACTCATGCGAACGGTTCCGTATTGGCAGCTGATAACTTCGGAGAAACTGTGTGCGCTGTTATCAACGCAATTTCTACAGTTTTATTCGCGTGATCTTAACCTTCCGTGTGCGAAATCATTGTATCCTTGCGTGACGCGCAAACTTAGGTAACTTCGGGTAATCACTGTGGTGCAAGAACAGCGACACTTTTGGCCGCGCAGATCGACAATATTTTAGCCTAACTGAACCGGTTGCATGCATCTGTGCTTTCAGGTTCCACGATACATGAAGAGCATCGGTCATACATCTTAAAGCTAAGGGCGCTAAGTGATACTGTCAATATCGCCGGCTTGTAACGGCCTTTTTTTATACTTTAGTTTGAAAAAGGGGGTCGAGATAAGGATAGGTAAGTACAGTGCTCCTCTCCAGCCTTAATGACGTCACTTGATTTCCCAGTTATTGAGATATTGCCGCTTGCAAAGAGATA